TAATGGGGTATACTGAACCATCCTAGAAACTTAAAAATTTGATTGAATCTGAATAGGTCTTTCTGTTGAGGTCTTTTGTTTGATGCAAAGGTTGGTGGTTGCAGGCTGCTGGTGGGTAGAATTTTTTAGCTGCCTCCGCAGGCAGAAGGAGCCGGTCAGCTGGGAACCCTCAGCAGGCTCTGAACCACACTTCACCTTCCACAACTGTTCTGAAAGTTAATGTTGTTTCTAGAACTCTAATTCCTTTAAAAGGGAGTTGTGAGGACTTAAAATATCTGTAGTCCTCACTGAGAACCTTGAAATCAATTGCTTATGATCAAGTTGTTCTTCTTTATACAGAAGTGTAAATATGAGCCAGTATAAGTGACAAGATGATTATGTGGTAATGGCGGTGGTGTGTGTGTGAGTGTGTGTGTGTGTGTGTGTGTGTGTGTGTGTGTGTAGCATCTACAGATAGCATGCCTTAAATCTCCAAGTCAGCACCTTAGAGTTAGAGAACACTTGAAAACAACTTAGCAGGGTTTACTTACTTTGTTTTTATCCAAACTAACCGAGCTCAACTGGTCTTCTGCCTATGAACTGAAATAATTCACTATCACTATCACTATCATCCCGTTGTTCATCGATTTGCTCGAGTGGGCACCAGTAATGTCTCCATTCGTTCCTATCTCGTGCTAGTGTAGCCTGATGACATATTGAGGGCTCTTTCAGGGTCAGGGGAATGAAGACCATCATTGTTACTGTTTTTTGGCATACCGAGTACCCCACGGGTAGCTTGCCAGCCTCTGCCGTGCCGGCAGGATACTCTTGGTAGCTTGTCGGCCTCACTGAAAGGGATAGAGGCTTTTGGGGAAGCCTCTAATCACCTTTACAGGTGTTCCCAGTCAGGCATATATGCGGGCATGATACTCTCAGTAGCCTGCCCGGTTCTCTGAGAGCGAGAACTAGAGAATAAGAGGTCGTGCACTTCCAGCAGCTTAGTTTTATAGTCTTTGGATCCTGGCCGTTGATGGGGTTACATGGCAATTGGTAGGTGTAACTGTCTAGCCACTGGAAGATGGCGAATCTGGGTGGAGGAGGCCCAATCCCGAACCGAGCAGGCTTGGAGATCTCAGCCCCGCATCCCGCACACTTGGGTTCCTCTGCCGGTTCCTTCATGCGTGAGGCTCGCCCAAGTGTGTGGAGTGTGGTCTCAGCATGGTTGTGTCTGGGTCCCGGGGGTCTTCAAGCTGTTGGGACTCTGCTCGGGGCAGAGAACTGAAATAATTATGGAGGAATTATGTAGTGTTTAGTAAAAGGGAACAGTATAGTACAGCAGGAGGGCATTTGCTGCGCGTGCAACCCCTGGCACCCTGTATGGTAATCAATGACCCCACCAGGAGTGACTCCTGAGCATCACTAGGTGTGACCCAAAGACTGTAGGTCTAAGAGGTTAGATCACTAGCTCTTGCATTGCCTTTTTCAAAGGTAAAGGTAAAGGCCTTTTTCAAACTTTAACTTATTTGGGGAAGCATACTTTTTCCTATATTGTGAATTAAGGAGGTTCATCAGAGCAGTGATCTTGAACTGCCCATCTATTGTCTGCTGCTGAACCAGCCCATCGTTCTTCAGGCTTAAAGGCTGAAAAATGCTGCTGTGAAGCCTCAAAGGTCCCCTGCACCAGGAAGCCAGAATCACATTACAATAAGCGGCACCCCACTCCTCCACAGGATTTTACATAGCACTGTAGCACTGTCCTCCCGTTGTTCATCGATTTGCTCATCAGGCACCAGTAACATCTCCAATGTGAAATTTGTTGTTACTGTTTTTGGCATATCAAATATGCCACGAGGAGCTTGCCAGGCTCTGCGGTGCGGGCAGGATATCTAGGTAGCTTGAAGGGCTCTCCAAGACAGATGGAGGAATCAAACCCGGGTTGGCTGCATGCAAGGCAAATGCCCTACCTGTTGTGCTATTGCTTCACCTATTTTACATAGATAAGGTAGCTTACATAGGATTTTATTTTACATAGGATTTTACATAGGTAAGGTAAGACCTTGTTCTTCAGAAAAGACCTCTAGTTCATTTCTAACGTTTTCCCGCTAAATGTCTGTCCCTAACAGACTTCTAGCTCATTGATAAAAGAGAAACACTGTTCCTCATTTCAAAGCAATCTCTTGATTTCACTGACTTAATCAGAGCCCTTTGTATTTGGAAAAATGAAAGGACTAAAGCATATTGGATTTCTTTTTGGGAAAGCAGCCCTATAGACAGGAGAGCAGTTAAACCCTGAGCTCAGCTCCTTTCAGCAGAGCCGAAAGGTGACTGACTGACCCAGTGGCTCATGTGAGGCAACCTTCAGACTTCATGGTTTATCGGAGCCTCAGCTATCTCACAGCTGGTCGGAAGCCATTGTCTCTGAGGGGCCTCTGCAGAGTGAGGGGAGATGTTTTCTGAAAAGATCAAACTGCCGAATTCTCTGTTTGATTTGTACGCCTTATTCTGAGGTGGGTGACTTCGGCGGCTCCTAGGGAGCTCCTGGCAGGGGAAGCTGGGCAAGGGGACAGCCCGCTCAGATCTACCTGTGTGGCAATGCCGTGCCTCCAGGTTGGACAGTTCAGGTCTGCTGGGACCACGAAAGCCATTCCCCAGTGGTGCCTGGAACCCTACAGAGCTGCAGCTGGTGGTGCCAGGGGCCAGACTTGACACCACCAAGGCTGTGCAGATTCTGCACCGCTGCCTCAGTTTGTCTCTCTGGCTCCCTGATGGAAGGCTGAGATGTGAATCTTTACTCACTTCCAGAATGAGTTCCCAACGCTGCCCAAGCAGTCACCAAAAGTCTAGATGGAGTGGCGCAGAGCACATCTGGGACTTGCAGGCAGAGTGCTGTGCGCCGTGCCTCGGCACCTGTGGTGTGGTGTGCATCGCCAAGGCAATCGTCTGCATGCAGGGACCCAGCTGGAGATGGCTGGCTGGTGCTATTTTGGTTTTCCGTCTTGGAGCTTTGTTTTGTGTGGTCAGCAGCCCCTGGAGAGTATTCAGAGGGAGCTGGCGGGGGCGGGGCGGGGGGGTGAGAAATCTGGGCCCACGGTGCAAGGGACTGTGATGAGCATGAGCCTCTTGAGTGTGTGAGCTGTGGCCGTGGCCGCCCGCAGGCTGCCCCTTCCTCCCTGCGGGGCCTGCCAGGACTTGCTCTAGGAATGTGAGCGCAGTGGCCTTATGACAAAGCACATCTGAGCCCATGATGCTGAGACTATATATAGACCCGGGCGGGAGCAGCGGGCCCCAGGCCAGCAGGAAAGTGAGGGGTGAGTTTAGTGGAAAACGCATGGGGACTGAAAAGGTGATTGAGAAACTGGCATCATAGGTGACTTGGGGTAGGAAAAGGGACAATCACATACTTGGTGGGAGGGGAAACACACTAAACATGCGTTGTATTTTCGAGAGAAGATGATATTATTACAATAGCAGGCCAGTGCATTGGGAAGAAGGAGAAGGTAAAATTAGCTGCATGCTGACTTCGGTAGTTGTACGTGTACCCTGGTACAGACGACACGGTGGGGGTGGGGTAGCGTGTTTATGAGGAATTCATATGTTATGTATGAATCCACTGGTGTTTTCAATTTTTTCTCTTATGTTAATACCTTTGTTTATAAAAAGTTTCTTTTAATCTGTAAGATAGAGATGTAACAAGTCAGTAATAGCCACCACATACAAATAGTTCATCGGTTTTATAAAAGTGTTTTCTTTCACTGTGTTAAATGCACATTCCTGAAAAATTGGATTTGGATCTGAGCTGAATTCAGGTTCTCAGTGCGTATCCAGCTCCCGGGGAGGAGAGGGGATGGACCTGAAGGCCTGACAGCGCAGGCCGGCATGTGGACCCCCATCTGGAGACTAGACTCTCCTCTGGGCAGAAATCGAGCGGAGAAGTCCATGTGTGGGTGCAGCCTGCCCGTTACCACTGACGCCAGGCATTGCCAGCCTGGAGATCCCTCAGACACCTGGCAGCTAAGGACCACAGGGTGGCATCAGGCTGGATCGCCTGGCTTGTTGGTCTGTGGTGTGTGGTGGTATTATCACTTCTGGCCGTTCCATTAAAGTGAGAACTTGGGGGGGAGGGGGGACAATTGCATCAGGCTCAGGGAGGGACCTGATTGGTGGCCACTTCACTACCTAGACTGGAGTATCCGCCTGCCAGGACCCAGTCCACATGGCCTGCCAGCACTCGGTCAGCCTGAGGGGCTCGGCCTGCCAGGGGCGAGTCCCTTTCCAAAGGCAGTTCTGATTTAAAATGCCCTTGTGCTCCTCCGACTGCTCTGTCCATGCCATTGAGGTAAGCTTTGAACAGCAGCTCACATTCCCCTGAGGTCGCATTCCTGCGGGTGTTGTAGCTGCCGCAGAGTTTTTCGTGAACCTTGGATTCCTCCTCCCCCTTTCCTTCATTGGCACATGCAGCTTGCTGGTGGGTATGTAGTGAACAGGGGTCTCAGTGTTTGTGACAGTGTCTTCTTGGGCCCTGCCTTGTGTGATTTGATGTTTCAAGTACATGCATGGGGAACTTTTCTCAGCTTCTTCCAAACCCAGGTGCAGGCCAGGTGTGGGAGGGTATGACGGTGTGATGATGGTGGGTGCTGTTTCCGCACTGACCCCAGAGTCCTGCGGGGGAGGGAGGAGCGAGGGGGCAGGCGGCACCGCCAAGTTAGAATTCCTGACCCTTTCTTCTTGCCCTTGTAGTACCAAGTTCCCCAGCCTGTGTCCAGCAGCAGGATGAAGTCTGCTCACACACTGTGCTCTGGCTCCCTGCACTCTGTGCCTGTGGAGAGTCCTGGTTGCATTGAGAGAGTCCCTCTGACCGTCAGGCTCTGCCGTGTCCAAGGGTTGGCAGCAGGAATGGCCAGTTCCCTGCCGCACTGCTGGATCTTGCCCTGCTGTTTGTACCTTTAATGCGTGCCTTTGCCTGTCTTTATTTCTAAATTCTCCAGTCACACCTCTAATAGTCTCCCTTTTCTGTGTTGCAGGATGTGAAAGTCTTTAGTGAAGATGGGACGAGCAAAGTGGTGGAGATTCTAGCCGACATGACAGCCAGGGATCTGTGCGAGGTGCTGGTGTACAAAAGCCACTGTGTGAATGACAACAGTTGGACCCTGGTGGAGCACCACCCGCACCTGGGGCTAGGTAGGACGTCGGGTCTGCAGTCAGCAGAAACCCTGCTGCCAGCCCAGCTCACCCTCTCCCTCTACCCTCTACCCTCTCCCGTCACCCCTGCTGCAGCGTGGGTGGCTGTTGGGTGGGGCTGCTGGGCATGGCCTGGGGCTCAGCTCCAGGGAAGCCTCTTGCTGTGAATCACCGGGGAGATCTGATTGTGCTGAATGTGGGGCAGGGGGATGGGGCCCAGGTGGCCCAGAAAACAGCTCTCAGCTTCTCTTCAGCTTCATGTCTCTCCCCTGGGAGTGGGGAGGGAGGGAGCTGAGAAAACTGGGCGAAGAACAAGAAACATTTTGTAGTGTGTTATATTTTCAGAACTTTGTTCAGGCTTTGGTTATTGTGGGCTTTTTTCTCTTAGATGGTCTGTTTTAGGAAAAGAAACTTTCTAAACTTTTGCATGAGTTATTGTTGTGTAATGTGTGGTGCTTGCAAATCCAAAGGTGCATAGGAAAGAACAGATAGTTTTCTTTTTTTCCCCAGATGTTAAATGTTAATTATATTCTCCTAATATTTATAACTTTATTTTCACACCTAGATTTATAATGCTTTCAATGATTGACACATCCGATATTCCATACCACACCTTTACCTGTGTCCTCTCCCTGTCCCCACCACAGTACGCTTGTTAAAATGAGGTATTTTTATTAGTTAGTGGCTCTTTCACACGCTCTCTCTTGCACGTCTTGAAAGAGTGTAAGACTTTACACTCTGCAAACTTCTTCCTGTCCTTCGAAAGTTTCCACAGAAGCGTTGGGGAAGATAAGAAATGTAAGTTAAATCTTTCAGTCTGGAGTATTTGTTCAGCTAGCGTTCTCTCACGGACCCAGTGGCCACTGAGCTTCAGTGCTTAGAGCACAGTGTGTGCTGGCGTCCAGCCATCGCCCTTTGTTTTCTGATGCTTTGTGTTTGGAGGAAGCGAGCATCAGGACTCAGCAGCCCCATCTCTTCCCCACTTTGGCCGCTCAGCAGACGCTGGTGTCACACTGCAGTGACAGGGACACTATCTTGGCAGGCCCAGGTGGGGACATTCATAGAGGGATTTGACAGGGGTCTGAGAGCGCCACCAGAAGAACATGTTGACTCATAAGTAACTTAGAGATTAAATAACCAGTTTAATAGGAACTCTGAAGTGTGGTATATTCACATGTGTGTAGATATACAGACCTATGTACACGTACATACGTGTGCTCATACACATACCTTAATGTGTACATGAGCATGTGCATACATAGGTGTCATTAGATTTGTAATAAGTCTCGGCACACATATTCCAAATGTAAATATTATTGAAAGCCCATTCAAAAACATGATCCTTTTATGTTTGAACTATGAGAGAGACTTAAGCAGAGAGAAAACACCAATATAATTATACATGGGTAGATGCACAGAAAATTTAATATGCAGTCAGGGACAATTTGAATTTTGATTCAGTCTGAATTCTTGGGTCACATATGTAAATCATATTAATTTTTGGAAGTGATCAGACATTTGAAGGACAGTGTATTCTTCTTTCTTTGAGTATTATTAAAGCCCCATGATGTGCAGGGTCATTCGTCACTGGGACTCAGGCTGTGTTCCACACCAGCCCCACGTTAGGGTCCCAGGCCCCTCCTGTCCAGCCCGGCCTCCAGCCTGCCCCTTCATGGCCCTCAAACAGAATGGACTGTTGGAGTGGATTCTTGTTTCCAGTGGTGCTGGCCCCTGGCTTGGATATTCAGTCACACCACTCCCCTGTACCCCCTATACTTGGGACCCCTGACCCACTCCCCTGCACCCCTGTGCACTTAGCTCCCTCTGACCCTGCTCCACTGCACCCCTGTACTTAGCTCCCCTGACCCTGCTCCCCTGCACCCCTGTGCCCTCAGCTCTCCCGACCCTGCTCCCATGCACCCCTGTACTCAGCTCCCCAGACCCTGCTCCCAGCTGCTTCCCTTCTGTTCCTTCCCCTCTGGATTTCTTTCCTTCTCTGCCCTGCCTTTCCATGTCCCCGGGGCCAAGGGTGATCCAGGCATCCTCCTCTTTCAAAAGTTTCCTTCCCTTGTCCCCTTGTTCTGTGTAAAGACAGCTTATTCTGAGAATGTACAAAGAAGTGCCTGCACACACCATATTTTTTAGTTATAAGGTGCCTGTGTCCCTTACTCAAAGGTATATTATACCCTAAGGAAAACAGTGCTGACTATAAAGTCAAATTAAGGAAAAATAAAAGGAGGGGTGCAATGAAATTATGAAGGAAAAAATACTTTGTGAATCAGATATTGGATCCTGTTTGACAAGTTAGTGAAGCCAACTTTTCCGATGGATGGCACGCTGGCTGGGGGACGTTGTTCCTCACTTTTTTTTCCCCACCAGTGCCTGTTTCTGGGGCACTAACTTGGCGCATTTCCTGATAGCTTGGTTTTATAGAGTGTTTCCCAGGATTTTAGAAGCTCAAGGGCCCGCCTTCCTCTGCTGTCAGCGACCAAACCTTCCTCAGCTCCGAGAGAGCCACTTTTAGCCCTCCTGACTCAGCCCTGTCTCTTGGCAGGGTGGGCTATCCAGGCACCCGCAATGTTTGGGATAGACCAGAACAAGCCGCAAGCAAGTCAGGCACTTTACCTCCAGTTCTATCTCCGCGGTCTCTCAAACCTGTCCTAACTTCTTTAAAAATGGGCTGAGTTGCTGTTTAGATAAAAATTCTGCTTTTGCCGTTATTTTGCGTGCATTTGGTTGTCGAACGCCCCCTTGTGGGGAGATTGAAGTACAGCTCCTTTGTGCTATATGCAGGCATGCTTTGGGGCACCTTTCAGAGACCTTGCCTTTCCACATGAGTCCTTGTTATTGGAGCACATCGACTGCCTGAGGGATCCTTGTGATGGTCCCAAGGCTCGGTCCTGGGGCCCGCAGGCACAGTTGGCTGTTCCTTCTCAGGGCCACTTTTCGTTGCCACTGATACATCCTTTTAGAAAGGCACTATCTGTGTCCTGTGTTCAAGGTGCTAGTGGGACCTGCCAGGAGGCTGGAGAATTGGGCCAAAGGTAACAATGGTTTTGCATTCGTGGGGCAGCAAAGGCGAAGAATTGCACAACTCCCAGAACTGCAGATGGAGCGAGCCAGCCTGGACAGCATGCCCAGTCTGCCCTTAGTGTCAGAACTCAGGGTTCAAGCATAAGTTCACTGCTGAGATTGCCATGAAAATAATAAGCCCTGACTACACATAGAAATGAATGATGATATGAGAAAGGTGACGGTTCCCATGAACCTTCTTAGGTGACTTGACAAGACGGAGGCATCTGCAGCTCCCAGAGGCGTCCGTGCTGCTGCTGGCCCACTGCAGGCGGGACGTGCCAGCATTCAGGCTCCTGGCAGTGCCACGCTCTGACCCAAAGGCACCTCCTGCATCTTCTTAGTGCTGTGTCTGGCCAGCAGCAGGCCAGGGCAGCAGGGCCCTTGGCACTCTGTGATGAGGCTTTGGCATGATCACATTTGGTGATTGCTGGGGCTGCGTCTCAGAGAACGGCCTGCTGGGGGCTTGACAGACAAAGAAGGACAAGTGGTATCTGGGGCGACTCAAGCCCGCGTGCTGGCGCTGAGCGGAGGCACCTCTGCTCTCTCCGCTCTGTAAGATGCTCCCCGTGGAAAAGGTGCCTGCCCCCTCAGTATGTCCCGAGCCCAGCCATATAGGTAGGGAGACCGACACCTCCCAGAAGGCTGTTATTCCCCTTGGGTGACTACGGTTCTAGCAGGGAATACTGTACATGGAGGACAGTGGAGGCTCCCAGCCTACAAAGCAGCCTACCCCTTGGCCACATGCATTTTCTTGCTGATTTCTGTCTCTTTTCATAATCCTCATGGCGTCCCTGCTCCAGCACTGGTCCCCCGGGGTGTGGCCCTTCCTCTCATCTCTTCCTGGTCAGCGAGTTCCTGTTGTCAGAGATTTGGGGCTCAGTGTTTGCGGCCAACCTCTCAGCAATGCTACACTGCCCTTGCCCAAGGCACCCCCCAGCTATCACTTCTGCTGGTGGACTTAGAATGGGTACCATTTTGGAAAATGTCGCTACATCTCCCCTTAGACTGTGCTGGAAGGCTCACTGTAGCCAGGACTTCTCTTGGGTAAAAAGTCACAGCCGTCAGCACCCGAAGAGATGCCCTTTTAAAGGCCCTTTTAGAGGCCGGGAAGTGCACAGCAGCAGGCGGAGTGGATAGACAGACTGCGGCCAGTCCAGCCCCGCCTCGGGCAGCTGCAGGGACATTCAGAACCTCTCTCAAGCTCAGCGACCACACAGTCTTCTCTGAGCTTCTGGGACTCAGGTGTGACCACCTCTTGCCCACGCCCCAACACCAGCTGCAGAAGGTGTGAGGAGGAAGCTGGCCTGAGGACTTCCTCTCTCACCTCACTCCCACGTGCTGCATCTGATGACGCTGCAGGCCACTGCCCCGCCAGCCTCAGGAAGACAAGGGGAGTCAGTGCTAGCAGCACTGGAACCTTGTCTGTGTCCCTACCATGGTGACGTGCTCTGGTGGCCGAGGGAAGCCCTCAGCTGTTATTGGTCCTCACCGGCCAGTACTGTTGTCTGGACAAGGCAGTGCAAACCAGTGCGGGCATTGGGCTGGAAGGGGCCAGCAGGATCGGGCAAGGCCGTCTCTCCAGCCAGTTAGGGGCCCCTGGCTGGCTTCTGAATTCTGGGGTCAGTGCCCATGTTAAGGCACAGGAGGAAGATTGGCCACTCAGAGTCATCTTCTTCTAAAAGTTTTTTTTTTTTTTAAGGCAGAGTTCTCGAGCGGGCCCAGTAACGTCTCCATTGTGAGACTTTGTTGTTACTGTATTTGGCATATCGAATATGTCACGAGTAGCTTGCCAGGCTCTGCCATGCAGGCGAGATACTCTCAGTAGCTTGCCGGGCTCTCCAAGAGGGGCGGAAGAATAGAACTCGAGTCAGCCCAGGAATCGAACTCGAGTCGGCCATGTTGGCTGTGTGCAAGGAAAACGCCCTGCCGCTGTGCTATGGTAGCATAAATTCTGAACTTAGTTTCCTAAACTTGTAAAATACAGTGACCTTCCCAGGATCCTTGTCCACTCCCATTCATACCGAAAGCCCCTTTGGGACCCCGTGGTGAAACTGACATTTCTGTTTCATGGGAGTCCACTGCAACCACTCATAGTGTTTGAATCTGCCTTTCCAACCCTGGAGGGGCTCAGAGCCAGAACAGAAGGCTTGGCATTGATGTGCTGGTGGGGGAGGGGTGCAACATGGACGTGCCCGCTGCTGCCCATGGCCATTTCTCAAGTCTGGGTCTGGGCAGGGATCTGTTGAGCAGCTTCTGCTCCCAGAGTCTTGGTGCCCTGCACTGGCCAGTGGGGCAATGGCTACTTGCAACCCTCTGCCCGCTGTCATCGGCTCTCTGTCAATGCTGCTATGTGCAACTTCCCTGGGGCCTTCAAGGGGGGAAGGGCCATTCAGAGGACTCCCCGGCCTGTGCTCGGTCACGGTTCCTGTCATACAGAAAATAGCTTTCAGCCAGTGACCTGCTGTTGTACAGAATTGAACATTTTCATTCGGCAGGGACTGGGGAGGTGACTCACAGGGTCTGTATATGGGGCCCAAGTTTGGTCCGTAGCACCACCTGCCCCCCGAGTCTCTCTGGGTGTGGCCACCGTGGCACCAACCAGGTCCCCTCACTGCGTGATTTTTTTACAGAGGGAACAGAAAATGAAAAGACAGGATAAGAGTCTAATTGGAGATGGGAAGGCATTCTGTGTCCAGGGAAATTCCAAGAGTCCAGGAAGGCCTGTATCTGCTCCCAGGTTGCTCGGTCTCACTCCAACGCCCTGGGTCAGTCTCCCTTGGACGGCGTGAAGCCCTCAGGCCACTCTGCTTCATCGCTGGCTCTGGGCGTCTCATCTGGGCGTGGTGGGAGGCTCTGCAGCCACACGTTCATCTTGTGTTGGTGCTGCGGCAGCTCTTCTCTGCCGTCATGCTGCCTCGTTGGGAGCTGCTTGGGGAGCGTGTGCTGAGCTCGCCGTGTAGGATAGCCGGTGCCCCCATGATCATGAGGGAACATGGCAGCACAGAGCAGAGAGCAATGCCTCAGACCCCTCTGGGCTCAGGGCCGGGAGCCCTCTACCCGCAGACGCCCTGCCACTCGCTGCTGTGCTCCGGGCATGCCTGCTGCCGTGTGCGCGCACATGTCTTCCGTGGATGCGTAGATGCACCTGCACACGTGTGTGGACAGATGCTCCGTAATGTCTGTTTCCACCCGTGCTGAATCCACGGGAGAACATTGCGGGATCTGGTTCCTGTGGGCCTCAGTTCCTGTGTGGTGGTAACTGGTCCCGGCCTAATTGGTCCATGTCACTCAGCTCTGTGCGAGGTCCCTGGCCAGAGGTTCCTGGCCTACTCCTCTCTCAGGTCTTCCCTCTGGTCATTTGTATCCATGCTCATTCCAAAAGGTAACATTCTGTAACGGCAAAATAATGCTCCTGGGTCCTTCCTCATGTACTCTTCTTCATAGTTTGTCCACGCCAGCTGTGTCTCCTCAGCCTCTGCCTGGGCCACGCTCTGCATTGCAGGGAGGACCATCCTCCCTTCATCTCGACTTCGCTGCAGTGTCGAAAGGGCCCAGCCAACCAGGGTTTGTAACTCCTTATAGAACCGCCTTGTAGTTCTGTCTGTTTGCATTGAGTTTATTTTTCTCGCAGAAAGGTGTTTGGAAGACCATGAGCTGGTGGCTCAAGTGGAAAGTACTATGGGAAATGAAAGTAAATTCTTATTCCGGAAGAATTATGCAAAATATGAGTTTTTCAAAAACCCGATGGTGAGTCCTTTCTTTGTGTTTGGGATATAGAACTCCTGGAACATTGTAATATTTAGTAATAGCAGGTTATAAAGTAATTGATAGAGATGTAGGGAATAGCAGATGGGTTAGAGAATATATATTCTTCTTTAATTTAGTGACCCTTGCTTAAAACTCGTTTCCCATACTTAATTGTCTTTGTAATACTTTCTTCCTCTACAGTAACAGTGAGAATGAAGCTTTAGCCCTAAGTCATAAGATGGAGGAGATGCCTGGATTTCTCAGCTCTTTTGAACTTCCTCAGTTAAATTGAAAAACAATTGGGCCCACACTCAGTAGAATAAGAGCCACAGATAGCTAAGATTATATTATTACATTATTAATAGCATCATCTGCAAATAGCACATGTTATGTTGTGATTGTTGGTGGAAGAATGAGTAGAGCAGCCTTACCCCGTGTGCCAAGCGAACTTCCTTGGGTTTTGGTTTCTGTCAACTCTCCCTGAGTCCTGCTCCGGCTCTGATAACTTAGTTTTTATTTGAAATTAGGAAATGAGAAAGCTGATTCAGGGCAACACACCACAAAAGACTTCCTCATGCTGCTGTGCTCACCCTTTATTCTCAGGGACCCTGTCTCACATCCTCTGCCCAGGTGACCAGTCCTCACTGGGGCTGCCCCTTTTTGTCATGGTGCAGCAGGAAGGTAGGAACCTCGTAAGCCAAACTGGAATCCAGCATTTCCGGTTTTGATGAGAACCTTCTGGAATAGTCATCTCTATTGTGAACAGGGGGTAAAGAAGCAATCATTTTGAATAGCCGAGATAAGTACCAGGAGGTTTACTCCATGGCTTGGAGACCAGCCGCACATGCTAGGGGAAAAGGCAGCGCAGATAGAGAAAGGATTACCAAGTAAAGTGTGTTGGGAGGATCCTCCCAGGATGGGAGATGCATGCATGCTGAAAGTAGACTATAGACCGAACATGATTGCCACTCAATGCCTCTTTTGAAAACCACAGCACCCAAAAGGAGAGAGAGAGAGAGCAAAAGGGAATGCCCTGCCAGAGAGGCGGGATGGCATGGGGGGGTGGGGGGTGGGAAGGATACTGGGATCATTGGTAGTGGAGAATGGGCACTGGTAGAAGGGTGGGTATTTGATCACTGTATAACTGAAACCCAAGGACAAAAATATGTAAGTCTACAACTGTACCTCATGATGTTTCACTAATAAAAATTTTTTTAAAAAAGAATCTTAAAAATATAAATAATATTTTAAAAAGAGGCCATCATTTTATGTGCAGTTGTGCATAATCATACATTCAGAATGGCCGTAGCCCTCACATGCGCACTATACAGATGACTTCCCCCACTTGAAAGTGTATCTTTAATGTCTCTGTTTCTCCATTTCCTTAGAATTTCTTCCCAGAGCAGATGGTGACTTGGTGCCAGCAATCCAATGGCAGCCAGAACCAGCTTCTGCAGGTATGGGGCCCGCCTGCATTCCGCCAGGGCTTCGGGGGAGAAATCCTCATGCACTGGATTGGAGACAGCATGGGAAACTTGCATTTGTTGTGCCTTTAACCACCAGAGAGCTTTGGTTTTCAGTAAAGTTGAGAGTAATCGGAAGAGTTTTTGCCTGGCATACAGGGTTACTCGGGGTCAGCTCACCTGCACCTCAGAGTAGCCAGCCCCACTCTGCAGGCTGTGGCAAGAGGACAGGAGGACCTGCAGCTCATCATATCCCTGTCACCTCCGGGCCCCAGCCAGGCTCTGTGCTGGGACGCTAATGTAGAAACTTTGAGCCCAGCTTATAATAAAGGGTTTCTGTTAAATCCTTGCAAAAGAAAATAAGGACGTCTGTCTTCTGATCCCCACTTCCTGAGCTCTGTTCCCAGAACCAGGAAAGGTCCCCTAGCCACACTGCCCTCCCTGGGAAGAGTCCCGAATGAATGACCAGTCTTTTCTGCGCTGCAGACTCACCCTCCCTGCGCCTCCTGCACCTCCTCCAGGCCTGCCTGCATGTGCTGTGGGAGGCATCAGCACGCTCACTGCAGCTGGCGTCTGAGAGAGGAGACGCTCAGCTCTGCCCTGGCCATCTGGGTGGCCTGGCCTGTTGGCCCTCCTGATGGGGGCACGTGTTTGCGCTGTGCCCCCACACCTGGGTGGAGCCCATCAGTCTGGGCACCTGCACGGTGGTCTCAATGGGCCAGTGCCTTTCAGCAGCCTGCTTGGACACAGCTCCCTGGTCAGCCTACTCGTAGTGCAAGTCGCCACAGGGCCTGGAGGGACAGATCAGCTCTGCACTGCTTTGTCCCCAGGCCACCTGGTGAGGCAGCGGTGTCCACTGCCAGCCCCGTGGCAGGACACTGTTAGGCTCACTGCCCCCACCTGCCACCTCTGTCCTCCGGGAGCACACGTTGACACTACCCCTTCTAGCCGGCAGGCACCAGGCTAGAGATGGCACTTAATTAAACACAGGTTCTTGCTCAGGGTCTACTGGGCTTCCTCTGGTCCTCACTCAGACAACCACAATGAACACTTTAGAGGAAATAGGAAACTAGAATAAAAGGCAAGCTGTGTAACCCTTCTTTCAACAGTGTTAAAAAGTCATGTGTGTTTGCCACTGTCTGAATATTAAGCAGTCTCTGCAGTGCCACATTTATGTGATTTTTAAGAGTTGGGATAAGTGACATTATTTGAAAACTCTGACCAAAATAAGGTTTTTGAATATTCAGAAAGCATCAACAATGTGAATCCTGTCTGCTGTGATTATACTGTCTCAGAAAAGTCTGACTTTCAGAATTTATTCTTCAACAGAATTTTCTGAACTCCAGCAGTTGTCCTGAAATTCAAGGGTTTTTGTATGTGAAAGAGCTGGGAAGGAAATCATGGAAAAAGTTGTATGTGTGTTTGCGCAGATCAGGCCTTTACTGCTCCACAAAGGGGTCTTCAAAGGTGAGTATCAAAGCCCACCATCACCCATTTTGTGGATTCAGGTGTTGTTTTGATTTAGGGACCACACCCAGCAGGGCTCAGGGCTTACTCTCTGCTCTGAGATCACCTTTGGCCAAACTTGCAGGACCATATGGGGATGAGTCCCAAGTCATCTGCACACTGGACCTTACTGTAAGCCCTGTCTGTCTCCAGCCTCACTGGCTTTGGACTTGTAAGTGAACACTCGCCTTTTTTTAAAGTCCATCTTAGACTCCTCCAGAGACATGATAATTACAGGACTAACCAAGTAACAGGTAAATGTAGATGGGTTGTTCTTCTAGCCTCCCTCGGATGGGGAGCACTGCAGCTCTCCTCACAGGGCTTCCCGCGCAGGCTGTGAGGAGTTGGCAGAACCCCCGAGAAACACTGACTTCATTTCCTTACTTTGGAATCCGGGTCCAGGTTCAATCCAAGTATATTGGAGAGATTATTGCCATTCGAATGCCAGTCTAATATAGATTATCATGGCTATTCACTGAAATAAGGAGCAGGTTCACCTATGTCTGGGATGACAGGAGGGTAGGCACAGTGGAAACAGCTCAGGCCTCCCGGGAGGGTTCTCGGCTGCTTCGGGGCCTTTGCGCTTGCTCCCTCGCTTTCCTCAGAGGCCTCGGGGCGAGCCCACACAGCTGCTTCTACCGTGCCTTCACCTTCTGAAAGCTCGGCTCTCTTTTTTCCCTTGCCGGAAGAAGGAATCTAGGTGGGAGCCAGGCACGAATGCTGACTCGGTGATGCTCTGTGACGTGTCAGCGATTCCCCCTACTGTGTGGGCGGAGGGCTTCTGAGCGACAGTCTGTATGGGCACATCCCTGGCTCCAGGGCTGAATCATGGCTTCGTCACTGGCCTCAGAGATCCTGAGCCCAAGACATCTGCAGCACAGAACAGGCGCTGGGGGTGGCCAGAGTGGAGACAGAGTGAGCCATGCTGTTGATTGTCCTTGAAGGCCCAGTGGGTGCCAAGTGTGCCGCCTGGCAAAGGGCTGCATGCTGCATGAACTGCACACTCTCCACCTGGACCTGAGAGTGGCAGGCTCTCTCCTGGCCTTCTCGGGATGTCTCACAGAGGAGTGGGATTCGACTGTAAGAGCAGAGGAGTCAAGGTCTGTGTCCGAGAGTAGGGCAGCACCAGCTGGACTTCACTCCTTTTTGCTTCATATTTCCGCCCTGAGTGCAGGGATGCATCAGAAGCACAGCTAGTGACCGCCCTGTCAGGACTTTGCTCTGGAAGTTCTCATGAGTAAATCTGACTCCCCATTCCAGGAACCCCGACACCTGCAGTTGTTTGCAGACTTGGAGGACAGCAGCATCTTCTCCCTGATTGCTGGGAAGAAGCAGTATGGGGCCCCCACAGAGTTCGGCTTGTGCATAAAGGTACCAGCTCCAATCGGGCCAGAGGGCTTGGCTCACTGCACACATCCGCTGGGGACTTCGGGATCATTTCAGCAAATGGCACTATGTTATTTCTTTTTCTTTATTATTTTTTTTAAGATAACAAATGTCTAACATTGGCACACATTCGTTGTTGTAAAATTGTGTTTAGCATGCTTGGGTATGCGGGTCTTCAGGTGACCCAGAATTCCAGGGGTACAGAGCAGAGGATAGTTAGAGTCTGGTGTGTAGTGCCCATCCGAGGACCCCCAGGCCTCACCCAACACTCTCTGTGCAGACAACATGAGACAGAACTCGCACCACGTGGGTGCACACACCAGTGTAGCATAGACTCAGGCGTGCTCACGTGTGCACAAACCAGTGTAGCATAGACTCAGGTGTACTCTCATGTACACACACCAGTGTAGTGTAGACTCAAGTGTGCTCACATGTACACCAGTGTAGCGTAGACTCGGGCATGCTCACGTTTGCACAAACCAGTGTAGCATAGACTCAGGCATGCTCACGTGTACACACACCAGTGTAGTGTAGACTCAGGCGTGCTCACATGTACACCAGTGTAGTGTAGACTCAGGCATGCTCACGTGTGCACACAGGCATGCATATGCATCCCTGCCGAGGGGAAGAACTATCTTCCCCTCTAGTGAACTTTGGTGATCTTTGTCCTCGTTTTAGTCAGTTTTTGATCATCACCTCACACCAGTTGCACTGCTGAGGCTTATACCTCCCTCATCTTAGCTTTCGCAGGTGTGCACAGGGCAGAAAGTGAGTCCACTCTAGCACTTTCGTTGCTGCCGGGGAGTCACTAGACTATCTGGGCCAGTTCAGCCTGTCTCCCAAAGAGGCGAGGCCTCAGGGGCACACACCTTATCATAATGTCACACTCCATCACACAGCAATGCTTCTTAGGGTGACAGGTGAGAGGCCCCAAGGCTAAGGGGCTGGAGATAGACCCAGGGTGTACGGCCTCATCCCCCCACAGCTCCTGCTGCCCCCTCTAGCTGGCCTTCACAGGGGAGCCCTGAGCCACCCACTGTCTTCCTGCAGAGCCCAAGGTGGGTGGCAGCAGGCCAGCTGTCTGCCTAGAGCTCTCTGGGTCAAAGACCCAGGGTGAGCACCAGCTAAGCTCAGGCCATCACTGAGTCTGCTCTTGTCGGATAAACCCACCTCCATCAGATGACTGATTCTTCACCACAAGCAGACATGTGACACAGCACAGGCCTATTTCCTGGTTGGCCGGGAGGATGGGGCAGTCCCTAGGGTGGCACCTGTCCTTGCCTTTCAGTGTCAGATCATCCAGTCTATCGGTTACAGCCCTCGTTAGCTTGAGCCTGTGTAAGCCTCTGTGTGAGCCTGATGGGCCTTTCCTCACTCTTTGCAGCCTAACAAGGTCAGGAGTGAAATGAAAGAGATGCGACTGCTGTGTGCGGAGGACGAGCAGGGCCGAACCTGCTGGCTGACAGCCTTCAGACTCATCAAGGTACCTCGTCCCGCCCCATGGCCACATGGATTGGCCATCGTCATCCACTCTCTGTGATGGGTGGGAGTGGGACACTCCCAGCTGCTCTCAGGGCTCATCTCAGGGTCTGTACTAAGGAGTCACTCCTGGCGATGCTCAGGGAACAGGGTAAACCTGCATCCCCAGGCTGGCTGCATGCACGGCCGTACAGCCAGGGACAGAGGCACTTCCTACCTCAGCATCACTGCGTTTAGCTTGGGGTGGGCGTCCCCAGCCTCCTCGCTCGATGCTAGAAGCTCCCCACACCCGCTATGCCCACCAACATTATCAGGGAATATTCCAAACACCAGCAAGGATCAGCACTTGGGAGATGAGGGATGGAGTAGACAAATAAGCCAGCATCATTCTCCTCAGGAGCCTTAGTTAGTCTCATGGCAAGCTTCAGACCTGTTTCCTGAAAAGACAGTATTATGAGATGAATATCACCAACTGTATCACTTACTGGGGGCCCAAGGGGGAGAGTGTCTTCTGACAGTAAGGTCTGAGCAAAGTCCGTTGCATGGAGCCTTGTATGGGATAGTGCTCTTGGGTGACAATTTCTTAGTTATTGCCTTTGTTGACTGGGAGCATGAAGTAAAATATGTTCGATTGCCTCAAAAAAATGGTTTGGCACAATCTTACCACAAGCTGACGTTCTGGTTGTGTGTAAAGTTCTTGCACGTAGCAAGTTACATGACCAGGACGGACACAGCTGAAATCTGGAATTGGGGCAGAGATGATCAGGGTGGCAGACACGGGCCTGGTCTAGGAAACCTGCAGAAACGCGTCCCCTCTTCCCCTGTCAGTCTCGCTGAAACTTGAAGCTAGTCAGAGATTCAGGATGTAGTCATAGAAAAGGGTGGTCTGGTGGGTAGGTGGAGGCTAAGCCCAGAGCTTCCCTGGAGATGCCATGGCCAGACTGTAGGGACAGACAGGCTGACCGCATGCCCCTGACCCAGAAGCTTGCTTTGATTTCTGCCATAGATAAAGTGAAAAAGGATTAGAAAGAAAGCTTCATGATTTCACAGTAAAAGATTTACCTGAGCACTACTTAGGGGCCACACTCTCCCCGCCAAAGGAAACAAAAATTGTGTATAACATATATAGAAAAGATGCTGTGTGTTGGAATTGAAATACACATTCATATTTGTGTTGTATGTGTCAATACTGAAATATAGGAGAAAATTCAGGATCTGTCGTGGAAAGCAGCCATGCAAACCAGGGGACTGTGGGTAGGGAAATGTATATGTGTGAAGTTTTTTTTTTTTTTATCTGCAAATACACAGTCTCTTGGAAAAAATCAGAAAAGAAAAGGGGTAGCATGCTGTAGGGAACTGCACATTTTATTATTTCGGACAACACATAGTAAATCTAGTTGACAAGATCCTAGCAAGTATTTCCTGAGTAAAAGTGGGTGGGTATCTTCTTTCTGCTGTTGTTTAACAAGAACAGTCTAAGAAAGGGACGAGAGTAGAGCTGGTGATGATGATGGGCATGACCATTAGCTGATATACTGTGGAATATCATGAACAGTGTTGGACTCTGCTGTGGGCAGGTGTTCTTCCTCCCTTTACACCTGCAGCTTCATCTCCTCGCGGAAGCTTTGTAACATGCATGTTATGCCCATGTGCATACTTCGTTTGGCAACTAGTATGTGGCAGGGTCCAGAATTTTGTTTCCAGGACCTCATTTCTAGCTGCCCCGCCAGCCATTGGAAGGCAGACCCCACCCACTTCTGTACGCGGTTCCGCTTCCCCATAGCCACTGTGCATGTCGCACCTTGCATTCCGTGAGCCGATTTTCTTATATCCTAAAGCTCCTTTTCTAAACAGGAGCCTGAATCTAATGACCATCGTAGTGGCCAGCACCAGGCACCAGGACTTGGTTGGTCCTGAGTGGACTGTGATGACAGTATTCTGCTGTCTCTGCATCTCTCATCACTCCCTGAGAAGGCAGGCAAACTGTCAGGCAAAAAAACTCCTTGCAGCTTTCCAAGGGTCAATCCTTCCCCGTGATGGCACCTTAGTCTTGGCCAGAGAAGAGCATGCGTTGTAGACGATGGTGTGTGTGCTGCTCTTCCCCCAACTGACTCCAGAATGGGGGAGCAGTTTTGTGTGTATATTGGGGAGCACTGGGGGTTATTCTAGGGTGAACCTTGGAAGCAAGCTTGCCCCTTTTTCCTGAGCACTGCAGTGGGGAGGCCTTTCTGAGATGGGAGCACAGCTTCAGTTTGGCTTCAGCCTCCTCTTGGCAAGCACCAATGGGAACCAAGGGGCCTGCCTGGCCCATTCTCTGCCCAGTTATGTCTGTAATCCTGGACATGATGCTTTCTTGGGTCTTGCCTGGTTCCCTGCCCCTTCCTCAGGCCTCCTGCTTTGCGGCATCCTATCAGGCTGCACCTTCAGCTCTGTCCTGCCTCAATGGTTGCAGGCCTCCCAGTGGCCCAGCGAGCTGGCATTACCAGCTCTGACAAGGGTCTCTGCACGTCACCTTCCCCAGCTCTCATCACAGTGCTGTCCTCTACTCTCATAAAGAATAGTGCTCAGTTAGTGCTGACTGGATCAGAGCCATGGTGTCATGCACAATGGAATGCTGTGTAGCTCTAAGAGAGAACAGAATCATGCCATTCACAGGAACAGGGAAGGAACTGTCACAGAATAGAGTCTGTGGAAAGGAAAGGGGCAGATGCAGAGTCATCTCTCGAGTGTGTGGGACTTTAAGATGCCCACAGGTGACCAGCAGAGGGCCAAAGGCAGCCTAGTAGGAGAGCTGATCTTCATGACCAACGGGAGAGTGCGGGGCTCCTTGGGAGAAGGAAGAGAGCACTATTGATGGGTGTGTTGTTAGAATTATGTGCATAAGAAATCGCTACTAAAAGAATTGTAAACTATAGAAATCTCAATTTCAAATTGAGATTTTAAAAATGAAAAACAAATGAGACAAAGACTGGAGCATTTCCATAACTATGGCATAGGGCATTAAGCCATCAGAAAGCAAGTTTATAACATTAAAGACATGGTCACCTATTGATGTTTCCTGCTCTATGGCACGTTTATATCTCCCATTGTCCAAACTAAACTTGTCTGATCCAGGAGACTGTCCGGCCTTGGGGGCTTTATTAGGAACGGGATCAGCAACTGCTTGATGCTCAGGACGTGAGTAAGAGCAGAAGCCCCCTGAGGCCCGCTGTCTGGCTTAGGTCTTTCTTTTCTGACATCTGATCCCTTCTATGTTTGGGGTGTCTGGGAAATGTGGACTCATCCTGAGGATGTCCTGAGGGGCTCTGGGCAGCCGGGTCTGCTGAACCCCCGAGAGCCCTGGCCTTCCGTCTCACGGTGGGTTTTGCCAGCACAGAGCAGGCGCTGCCCTGCATTCCCGTTGTATGGGTGTCAGGAATGCAGGGGTGACCTGCCTCTCCGCTCTAGCCCTGCGGGTGCTCTAGCCACAGTCATGTGCTTATCTACAAGAACACAGATCATTCTTCATGCCATGGCCAGCATCAGCCTAATGTTCAGCTTCCTACTATCCTTATACCCCGTGTTGTTTCCATGTGGTGGGTGGTGGTAAAGTAGAACCTCAGGCTTCAGATTGTGGAAAAATCCCATTGCTTTTTTTTTTTTCCAGAGGAGCAACTGGATTTTAATTCATCTTTGTCATTTTTTTCCTTTTAAGTGACAGCACAAGGGTGCTTTCTTTGCTGTTCTTTTATTGGGGTGGGGGTATACTTGGACCTGGCAGTGCTTGGGGCCACCAGGGCTGTCTGTGACAGTGCTCAAGAAGGAGGCAGGTGGCCATGGTGTCAGGGATCAAACTCAGGGTCTCATGCATGCTAGGCATGTGCTCCATCCTTTCATCTCTCTCTCTCTCTCTCTCTCTCTCTCTCTCTCTCTCTCTCTCTCTCTCTCGTCCTTCAGCTACAGTTACTTTAAAAATAATTAACTCTTAGCTTGAGCATACATTAACTCAAAGCTTGAGCATGGTGGAGCTCAGCTTTCTAGACGCTCTCAGGGAATGAAGCTAGCAGGTAATACCTGCTTTCATTTCTCACTTTCCTAATGTTTATTACACAGCTTTGTAGATATCCATTCTCTGCTGTCCCCGAAGCACTTCCCTTTACCTTAAGCCTCTAGAGGAATGCTGTCAGGTTCTCTCAGGCTGTTCCCAGAGGGGGGTGCTGCATTACTGCTGCAGGAGTCTAGAGCAGACCCTGGCTTCCGTCCTAAACAACCTGACTTTGGAAAGGCAATAAAAAGGCAATTCAGCAAGACCTTTGTCCAAGGAGAAAATTGGGCCTCCTGCACAGACACTGTCGAGACAAATACTTGTGTGTCTGGAGGGAAGGGGGTGCCCAGTGCTTCAGGGAGGAGTGTCACCATTGGCTGGAGGTGGGGGTGGAGAGGTTGTGCAGAGTGGAGTCTCAGGCCAGGTGCCCTCCTACAGCGTCACGTGTCATCCAGAGAGGGGGTAGGGGTGGAGGGCAAAGGCAGAGGGAGTGCTCCCAAGGGATCCGCCCCTCAGGCACTTCACTGCCAAGGCTGCCTCGGGGTCCTGATGGCTGCAGGTCTGGACAGCCTTGTCCTGCTCCTCGGCAGAGTGGAGCCAGTCACTACAGGACGCTTTCCAGAACTCTGGTCTTGTGCTTGGAGAAGAATCCATCCTTTTATCTGATGGGTCCTCTTTTCTAACTCTTGCAGTTTCCTCTTCTTTAAATGCATCTGTTCTAAGAGGCAGGATCTTGGTTAATTTGGGGTTTATATATTAATGGTCTTATTTGGAAAATTAACTGCCAAGTTTTTATAACATGCAAAGACTGCTTTCCCCACATTTATTCTCTCGTAAACTATAGAAGTATGAAAATTACTGATTTACACCTTTATTTTTATTTTTATGTAGGAGTACTGCTATTTATTCAGCCACTGATCAGCTGATTGAATTGGGCATGAACTCCACCAACACCTTTTTTTAGATATTCTCAAATATAG